AGATACATACCATCCATAGGGATGAGAGGGGAATTTTTATTTTTAGAGGGAGAGGGAGAGGTAGGGGGATTGGAATAGTGCCAGTTATTTATTTATTTGCTTGCTTGTTTATTAAATGTATAAGCTGCTGGACTCCATCATAACTCTGGGCAGTATACAATATAGAACAATTTAAAACAATGCAACACAAATAGTGCAAAAAGCAAGCATCTGGAAAAATAACATAAATTCTAACAAATCAATCATCCCTACTCTAGCCCAAGGCCCAGGGGAAGAGCCAGGTTTTAAGAGCTTGTTTAAATAAGGCCAGGTAGGGGGCCATATAAATTTCAGCCCTCATAATGATCTGACATATGTTAAGAGAGTTTGTCTACATAAGGTCTGGTGCTATACTTGATGGATATGAATTGCACATTCAGAAAACATGTTGAATATGTAGCTTTGAGGTAGCTCACTGGAACTGGATGATATAAATATCTAATATTATTGCTCCATTATCTCTGCTGGCTTCCCCGTTTTCTGGATAAATCCATACAGCTTTTGAATTTTAAAGCTCTTCAGCGTTTTGAACCGCAGTACCTAAAGGAGCCTCTCTCTTTACAAGTAGAAGTATCTATCTAGACCCTGAGATCCTAATCAGGGTACCTCCCCCCAAGAGGTAATTTTTCAGGCCCCTACTCTGTCTTATTTTTATCATGTCTTTTAAATTAGCCTGTTAAATCTGTTTGACTGTACCTTTGTTTTCTTTTCAAGTAATTTGCTACATCATATTCTTTATTTTTTTCCCTAACATCTTGTTTGTCCTTGTACTGTAAGTCAGCCTGAGAACTTACTATTATAAAAAAGCCTATCAGTGTTGAAAATAATAAAATAATAATGTCATTCTCTACGATCATGAGACCTCCAGCTAATTAATCAAATGTCCTGAACTGTCCTTTCCTTTAAGTTTTATATGCTTTCATGGTTGGTTTCCCATTTGTCCTCTGAATGTTTTCTTTTAAAAAAAAAAAAAATTCCTGTGATGGATTGGCATCCATTCTTAAGTACGATGATGCCAAAATTACACACCTTCATTTTTACATCACAGCATAAGCTCTGCCCCTTTGGATTTGTCTTGCAGTGTTGCATGCAAGTACGTAAGGGCAGAGTTTGCACCACAATACTGCACTGCACATTTTGACATTTGCCTCCCTTGCCCTCTCACAGACCTCTCTGCTGTGGTATATGAATCCAGATATTTCTTTCAATTAAGAGTAAGCTGAAGAGCACACTGCATTCTCAGAGCTGTAAGTTACAGCATTAGCGAGAGGAAGCTCCTTCAGGTGAGGCAAGCAAAATGATAAGGATAAAATGAAGACCTTAATGTCTCTGTAACTATCTAAAATATTTACCAACATTTGTACAAATATTTTTGCACTGAAGAACAAACTGAGTTCACATTTACTTTATCATTTCAACCCAGAAAGCCAAAAGGAAAACAATCTTCTTTTTTAAGAAGGAGTGTTACTTAATTTACAAACTCAGGAAATATAAGAATTTTTCTTGCCAGGTACTACTTACATCAGGGGGTTCAAAGTCAAATTGTTACAAACGTCACAGCTCTTTCATGCATTGATGCAAGAGTCACTAGTGGGGCTTCCAGGGGAGGTGTGGTGAACGAAAGATGGCTCTACAAAAGCAGAGCCGACAACCATGATAAAGACCAAGGGACCAGTGAGTAGACTGGTTCCTTGGAATCTCTCTGGATAAAGAGAGGATGGGAGATCTCCCACATGTGCTCTGGACAGCTGCTCCTCATGAGGAAGCTGCAGGACAGCAGTTTTCCACAGGTTTGAGTGCTGGGAGACGGCAGGATTAGCCATTTTGCTCGCAGCCGCGGCGGAGACTTTTAAAGCACACTAAGTTTGCAAACCTCACTTTCTAATCACTTTCAGAAATTGCTTATTAACTATTTCTAAGCTATTAGAGACCTTCAGAATGACAAGCTTGAAGGCCTGCAAAATGGTGCAAAATGTTATAACAATAAAAATACTGAAGGAGACTTTTGAAGAATGGAAGCAGAAAATAGTAGCCATAATATCAACAATGTCAGTAATGATGTCTGCTTCTATGGATAGACTATGTCCAAAAGTTGTTATTGAAAAAATGTCAGATGTAGAACAAATTTTGTTTGACAAGATAGAGGTGGTATCGAAAATGGATTTAAGACTAACAGGCCAAGAGAATGACTTAGAAAAGGATGTTTCTCTGGACCTACAAAAGAAATTGGCCGAGGTTTTAAAATTTAAAAGGGAAATACAAATGACGAACCAAGAGAGTGACCCAGATAATTTTTTTCCTGCTGGATTTACAAAAGAGGCTTGTTAAACTTTGAAGAACTCTGTGCAATGGGACAAAGCAGAAATGAAGAGAAATCAAATCCTATGACAATATTTGAATGAACTAAAATTAAGACTGTTAGAAGTAAAAGGAAGGAATATCAAGTTGGTTTACTTGATCATGGTTAAAATATGTTGTTACGTCTGGCTACCCTTTATGGACTTTCTGCTGACATCAGGACTGAAAAGATTATACTTTATGGATTTGTTTATAGATAAGAGATTGGATATGGGATGAAGAGATAAATGTTTGTAACTTTAGAGAGGGTGAAGAGTTACTAAATTTGTTTATACTTACGATGGTTGGAAGTCACTTCTTTATTTCTTTTCTCTTTATTATATCCTCACTTTTCTTTTTCTCTTTCTTTTTCCTTATACTTTTTAGTCCTTCTATCTATTCTCTTTTCTTTCTCTAAGTTTAGTTTGTATTAGATTTTATTATTATAATCAAAATTCTTAATAAAAAAACATTAAAAAAGATACAAGAGTCACTAGTGAGTCAAAAATGAAGAAAATGAGAAGAACCACAGTATGCCACTGTACCCCAGTCAGTGGGGATCATGGTGGCAAAAGGTAATCAATTGAAAGTTAAGTTGCATTTTCTATAAAATTGTATTACCATTATTTCCTTCTCCAGCATTGGCTTATCCTTCTGAATCAATGATAAGACATGTATTAATCTCAGCAACTACAAATATGAACCCTTTCCATTATGAAAAGGTTCTTCCAGCTACAGCAGTATCACTTAGTACAAGGGAAGGAAGGATAATGCCATGGTATGCATCCTCCTCATCTGTGATTCCCTTCTGGGATATTTATTAAAACTGCTAGAAGCCTGAATCCTGGCTAGTTTTGGCTTGGTTTTTGTCCTTGGTAGCTTTTTGATTAATTCTCTTCAAAGTGGGTAAGATGCACTTACCCACTGGAGTGTACTCACTTGAGTTAGGTTTATGAGAAATTTTCTTAATACTGGCTAAAGTCTTAGGAAAGATCACAGTTTAATGACACCTTCAGTGTTACAAGGGGCTGGGGGGAGTTTGAGCCCATTAACATTTTGCTTCTGTGTATCCAAAACAGATTGTCGCTGCTATACTTGCTATTGCAGGAATAGTTATGATGACTTACGCAGATGGATTCCACAGTCATTCAGTTATCGGAATAGCACTTGTTGTGGGATCTGCCTCAATGTCAGCTCTTTACAAGGTAAGTGTAGTAGTAGGCTTAAGGCTCATTAGTCTACACATTTGAATCTTGGGAGCTACAGTCAAACATTGGATGATCAAATGTGTCCAAGTTCTGCTTTCAGTTCAGTTCATCCTACACAGAGTCATGTTTTCACTGAGCTTCGATAGAATTAAAGTTCCCACAGGGGCTACACAGACCACCTTGCCTCTGAAGATGCCAGCCACAGTTGCTGGCAAAACATCAGGAAACCTGTTGTCTAGACCATGGTCACTAAACCCTGAAGCCCAACTCTGCCCAATCTATGTTCAAATAAAAAATGTTCATGCTGTATGTAAAAAAAAACTGAGTTAAGGAAGAGATCCTAGAGCTGCTGATGGACCAGATTCTGCATCACTCCAGTACTTCCAGTTCCATGACATAAAAAAGAGCTTAGAGGTTGCTTAGGGAAATCTGCTTACAAGATGCTGGTTTATAACACAATAAATAATAATAGGATTAGATAAATCTACTGCTGCTGTTAGTATGAGGGAGGAGGAAAGTGAATGATGGAGATTACCTTATCTAATGATTAGTGGATATTTTTACATCACAGTGGTAATGCTTTCATTTTGGGAGCTAGGAAAAGGAGAATAGATCATAAGGGATCTAGGATGACTAAATGTTAGTGCTTTTCAAAAATTAATCCAATAATTAAGTGTTGTTGGTATTGTTTTTAAGCATTAGTGTGTTGCACAATTGTGCTTTTATACAAAGAAGAAAGATAGATTGGGTAAACTTTTGAGCAGGGGAAGGAGGGGAGAACACCATTGCCTTCTACCAAAGGAGTATTCCAGCACCTCTTCTTTGCCTTTAGTCTCTGCATATAATAACTCTACCATTAATTCATGGATACTGACATTCAAAATAAGCAGTTGGAAGTTTTGCAGATTACTGTCTGTGGCACTCTGCAGTCAAGCTTTTATGAGTTTCTCAACCATGAGGAATAGAAATTAATTAAAAAAAATTAAAACAACAGTTTAAAATGAAAGTCATTCTACCCAATGGCCTTGTGATAGAGATAAAGTAATGGGTGGGTTCCCTTATATTTTATACTATCCTAACAAGTTTAAATATATCAATATGTCATGTGCACTGATCACCTAAGGTCTTGCTTATATACCAAATAATTTAACAACTCTATTTATTAAGAATAAGAGTATCCAAAATATACAAAAGATTTAAGAGTTGAGAAAATAATAAATATTTAGAATCTAATCATTTATGGTTTAGATAGTATAACATTCCTTCATGGACATTAAATAAACATTTTTAGAAATCCAAGGCCCAGCAGATTGCTTCCAGCGCTAATATAGATTTTGTTCCCTCTGTGCCTATGCTTAAATCAATATCAGTTCAAAATATGATAGAGAAATGTCAGTTTCTTGCTTCATGCACTCATCAGTGACTTCTGCAAAATGACAGAATGGAATAATTTGAGGTTCAATCATGCTGCTCAGAAGGAATTGTGTAAAAGCCAAGTCTGACCCAACAAAACTTGTTTTAAGGAAGTTTATCTTTTAATTTGGGAGTTTCCACGTTCTATAATAAAATATGACATATCTCTAAAATATTTGTGGGTGGGGTTGGGAGAGGGGTTATAGGCTACTATACAGGTTTATTTATTTATTAATTGGATTTATAAGGCTGCCCAACTCAAACAAAATTACTCTTGTTATGTACAGTAATTTGTACCATGTAATTTGGGTACCATGGAGGTTAGATTTTTGCCAATGTACTGTACAGCTGACTCTTCTTATCTGAACTGTGCTGTTGACTTGATTTATTATAGAAATTTGTGCACTGCCAGCTTGCAACATTTCTATTTTTTTATGAAGGCTTCCATATCTTCAAAGACCCTTCCCCAATGAGAGGTTTCCTGGTAGCCTCGACAACATAGCCAATAATCAAGAATTATAGGATTTGTAAACGAACAATATCTGAAGAGATTAAGTTACAGAAGGCTGATTTAAAATAATGGCACCACAGCTCCTTCCATAATGGGTTTGTAGGAGATTACATGAAAAAATGACCTAAGAAAACATGGGCATTTCTGTGCTTCCCAGGATTATTTAATGAGAATTCAGTTTCACTGCAGATACTGCAGTGGAAAAGAAGTGTCTGCCACCAGCTGGTGATCTAAATATGTTCTCTGAAAGCCTTTTCTGCAATTGAAAGGCATGATCACTTCTCATTGTTCTTTTCCATTGCCTGCCTTCATTCAGTGAAATCAAACAGGTTGTGTATGCTTATTAGGTGACTCAAATATAAAGTCTTTGAGTATATGCCTAGTCAGTACAAGAAGCGTAACATATAAATACAGCATTCACTTTGCCTGAACATCTGGTATTCTATGACACTTGTTTATGTTAAGTCAGAGTGCTGGTAGGAGAACCAAAATAAAACAAAGATTTAAAAAGTAAGGTTAAGGAGGCTAAATCCTTCCCCCCTTTTTAAAAGGAGTTAAAAGGAGATCAAATACAAAAATAAACATTCCATCTGAAATTAATTAGCCATACAAAACTGGTGTGTGTGTGTGTGTGTGCATGTGTGAAAGTAGAAATCAAGTTTTACATTAAGATTCTATAAATGAAATTTGTTATAGCTTTCTTTTACATACTGAAATATGTCATCTGAGAAGTACATGGGCACAGCAAATAGTTCCTTGTGATGGCATTTTGTTAGCACATCAGTCTAACTCAAAGTAAAAAAAACATGAACCTCTACTGTTCATTGTAACAATTTGCAGCCATTCTGCTTACTATCCATAGCAGCTGCAAAGAAGAGAAATTATGGACAGTGATCTAAGTATGTCATCTGGATAGAAATAATTTCAGCAAGCACTGTCCAAGTTTTAGTAACATAGTCTTGCATTGTATGTGCTGGTATGAATGTAATCCCTGCTGGACTGAAGTAGCATGCCCCAATAAACAAACAAACAAACAGCAATAACAATAGCATTACTAGAAGAATACATATAGTAAGTTATTCGTCACTGCTAGATTAACATTATAGGTGCACTGATTTAGTATATATGTATTTCACTGGCTACATAGGGGTTAAACCAGTGGCTGTGTTGGATACAGTGGTGTCGATAGGGAAGGCAGAGGAACAGGAGGCACAGTAGCACAAGTAACAATGCAAAATCAGGGCACCAGGCCCCTTTTCCATGTGCGTCCTGATGTTGCATGTGCATGTGTATGCAAACCTACACACACACAGCAGAACTTGCAGTACAATGCTGCTTTCATCATCTGACACATCAAAAGCTTGCAGATACCAGCCACTGTTACCTGAATATGTCATCACCCATGGTGATCTGGATGTTGGGGTCTTCATCACAGTACTTTTGTATTAGTCAGGGTCACTCTGTTTAAAGTTCTATATAAATCAAGAAACAGGAAGTTATAATGGTAGCATTGCTGCCGATTCCATAATAATAGTTTACCTCCTGTGTGTGTGTGTGTCTATGTGTGTGTACAGTATAGTTCTTGGTGTTTGCTGAGCTTGGTTGTTTTCTTGCAGACGTTTCACTGCCAGGCTAGGTAACATCATCATCATCTGCAAGAAAACAACCAAGCTTGGCAAACACAAAGAACCCAACAGTTCAACCCTGTGCTACATATCTAACACAGTATATAAACTATACAAATACAAATGCCAGTGCCAGTGCCAGTGGCAGCAACAGTTTTTCTTTGTCATTAGCTCATACAAGCATTTAGTGAATCGGATCCACTCTTACGTAGTGATCCACAATATATCTATCCAGTCAGTCACTCACGCCCTCGTCATCTCTTGGTTAGACTACTGCAATGCGCTCTACATGGGGCTACCCTTGAAAAGTATCCAGAAGCTACAGCTGGTTCAAAATGCGGCTGTGCGGACAATTTTGGGTGCCCCAAGGATGGCACGTAGAACACCTTTGCTGCAGGAGCTGCATTGGGTCCCAGTTTGCTTCTGGGTCCAATTTAAGGTGTTGGTTATCACCTTTAAAGCCCTATATAGCATAGGTCCAGGTTACCTGAGGGACCATCTCACCCCCGTCACATCAACCTGTCCCATCCGGTTAGGCAGAGAGGGCATGTTGAGGACCCCATCAGCAAAAATGTCAGCTGGCAGGGCCCAGAAGGATAGCCTTCTCTGCTGTTGTCCCTGTCCTTTAGAATATTCTCCCCCCAGAGGTGCGGCAGGCCCCTACCCTCCTGGCTTTCCAGAAAGGACTAAAGACCTGGCTCTGCTATCTTGCGTGGGGCAATAAGAGCTCTAATCTGGCGCCCTGATGACACCCCTGAGCTATTCACCAATTCCATCAATCAGTAGAGGCGAATATGTGTAGCTCAGGGTTGAACTGTGGAGTCCTTGAGGTTCTCTGAGTTTGGTTCTTTGCAAGAAAAGAACCAGGCTCAGAGAACCCCAAGGACTCCACAATTCCATCAATTCTTAGAATTTATTTATTATTTAAGACTGTTTTTATATTGTATTTTAATTGATTTTATCTTCTCTGTAAACTGTCCAGAGTCACCTTTTAACAAGATGGGCGGTGACAAATTGGATATATAAATAAATAAAATATAAAATATACCCATTATACTGAGAAAATCTGTGGCTGCAAGGATTGGCATATGCTACCTGGGCCTATCACTGGCAATGGGGTTTACATATAAATATTGGTAAAGGTTGTTCAGTGAAGTTCATCAGATGATTGGCTTAGCTTCCCTTTGAAGGTCAGGTGGGGTTCATTTCAGTGAAATGAACTGCATTGGGAGTGAAGTGGAATTAACATTCTAACTGAAAGGCAGTTTGTTATTTCATAATTCTAATAATTGACTTTAGGCATAATCACAAAGCTACACAGAAACACATGTGCTGTAAGAGTAAATACACAGTTAATATTCATTATTAAACATGAATAGGATTCAAATTAATTTAAGCGATATCATTGAGGTGACACGGAAATCAAAGTGAAACAATATGTTCATTCTTCTCCATTGAAAGCAGTGGTAATTAAGGGCAAATTTGACGCCAACTCATTAACTCAGGAGAATCCTGCTGATATAGAAATTTCTTCATTAAAAACATGATTAAATTTGCAGCCTTAATGTTTTACATGCAGTTAAAATGAAATAGTAATTTGCAGAGGATATATTTGTAGCAGTAGCTTGGAAGGTGTGTCCCACATTTACCGGAAAGTTTGCTGAAGTAGTTATAGTTTGATTGCTTGTATCAGATAGCAAAGTTATTATAAAAGCTTGATAATGCAGAGAACAAAACTAGAAGATAACAATCAAAATTTCAACAGAATAATTACTAAACAGCATTGAAAACAATTTTTTCATCAGTTCACATTATTTGGAAATGCTGTGTTATAAAAAAGGTTATGAAATGGCTGTTGGTTTGTGACAGACAAAATAAGTAACCTTTATACTGACTATTGATTAAGGAACTGCATAAAACTCAATATTACAATGCTGAAATGCACTTCTGTTCAACACTGCACCCATTTATAGGAATTTACATAGCATATTTAGCCCCTTTTTATGTCTTCTACTATGAAATTAAAATATAAAGTAACTGGTCAAATTAGTGAAATTTTTCCTGGTGAACATTTCTCTGGCTCTTTCTAGCCAGTCATCTAAATACAAGAAGTGCTCCAGTTCTTCCAAACAAGACTTTTTTCATGAAATTGCCTTGCCAAATTTACAAAGGTCTGCAGGAAGTCCTGGCGACACCACATTCATTGTACTGTATAGCCTCTTGAGTTGTCTTCCATCTTTGTTGGAAATGAGAATGGATTGTAATAAGAAGCTGTTTACCTGGAAACATTCCGGCTATTTCTGAATAATAGTGTAAACTAGATATTCTTTCTTCCATAACATATCTGCATTAGGTAAACATGTTTTAAATTAGAAACAACACACTTTAACTTAAGTGTTTAAAGAACGTCTTACCATATATGAACAATAGTTTTTGCTTCTCAGATTGTTTTTCTCTTTATGTTACAGGTTTTATTTAAGCTTCTCTTGGGCAGTGCTAAATATGGAGAAGCTGCCTTATTTTTGTCAGTGTTAGCTGTTTTCAATATCCTTTTTGTTACCTGTATTCCTGTCATCCTTTACTTTACCAAAGTTGAATACTGGAGTTCTTTTGATGCCATTCCTTGGGGAAGCATTTGTGGATTTTCAGTCCTATTATTGAGTAAGTAAATGTTGCTCATTTACTCATTATACGCATTTACTCATTATATATTTACGCTTATATAATGACTGCATCCTTGTAAACAATTATATTGGATAGCCTTAAGAAAAAGAAAGGCTGTGGATCATGCTTAAAGCCTACTTAATCCAATCTAACTTAATCTAATTCTATGCAATCCTTTGTTTGTTTGTTTGTTTGTTTACAATGATGACACTGTTCCTAAGATTTTAACAGTGGTTTCTCATGTTGCCCAGCAGCTGATACTGAGAAGCATACTGCCTCCAGCACTGAGTATAATGTATAGCCATCATATTTAGCGATTGTTGTAATCTTGTCCTCCATAATTTGACTATCATGGTGGTTCCAAACGTGATATTTAAAAGGGTATGGCAAATGTTTTATCTGAAAGAAAATTAACAGAAGAACTTGTCACACTGACAGTGTTACAGCAAGTAAAAGTATGGTAATGAGTGCAATATGTTATGAGTATTGATAACTGTATCTGTTTATGTGTGCATTTAATAGATTATTGAGCATTTAATAGATGATTGGATGTAATTAGAGTTTAGCCTGGAGAAAATACAACTGAAGGAAAATACATTAGCACTCTTCAGGTATCTGACAGGTTTTCACATAAAAGAAGAAAGTCAAGACCTGTTCTCACTTGTTCCCAGAGTGCAGGACATGGAATAATGGACAGTCTGCAGGAAAGAAGATTCTCACTGAAGGCTAGAATTCTCATGTTCCTAACAGTAACACTGGTTTGACAGTGGAACAAATAATCACAAGATGTGGTTGGCTACCCTTCACAGGACAGGCTCAAGTGGAGATCTATTTAGGATTCTTTAATTTGAATTCCCACATTGAGCAGGTGGTCAGAGTTAGTGGTCTCAAGGAAGGCCTCTTTCAACTCTAGGATTATATATATATA